AAGTCGATACCGCCTGAATCTTATTACATATGATTAAATATGATTACTTAAAATTAAATATGCATAAGATTATGCATATCATAACTTACGGCGTCCGTGTATGCTGTACGCAATTCTAATGCATACATATCCCCAAATTTCATATGTAATCTTAATTGATAAGCACTAATGATGATGCACGGCGGTAAAGAAACAAACGAGTGCTCACGTGAGTACGCCACAAGTCCTTTCTCTTTGGGAAGCCGTCAAGCGCCGGGGTGTTTTCAGTTGTGATCTGTGCTTTCCCAATGTAATCTGCCCTAAGGCTGCTTTGTTTTTCCAAGGCTCTCTGAATTACAATCATCGGCCTTAGAGCTTCAAATGTTTAGGCTCCAATCTAGTCCAATCTTCAAGCTTCTAGCCGCTGCTTCAAGGCCTGGTACCTGTTACTCCGGTGACTCGGATTGCGGTATTCGGCCACTGATTCCAATCTCAATCAGAAGTTCGGGTTCTGTTCAGCAGGAGTCGACATTGTGCCCTTGTACAAACAAGTATCCTCTCATCGAGAAGGGTGCCTGGATGACTCAACACGCGAACTGGATTGTTGTGGCTATAGGCGATCACTCTCATCCTGGCAGGATACCTCTCTGCGGCCTTATGCGAGATGCAACTTGAACAAGGACGGGGGACAGGCGGATGATATAAGAACAGCATACTAGAGGTGGATGACCCCTCCGTACTTCGACCTTTTTCGAAGCATTTCCCCCCTCTTGCTATCTGGGACTGAATCCCGGTTTACCATGGCACATGTATGTTGTCATGCTCTGTGATACAAACTGTGTCCCTGACAAGTGGCGAAGGACGATGCAGCCCAATTCATGGGCTCCAGCTGGCTCTATGATATCATCGACTTGCTCCAGCGAGTGGTGCTACCTATAGGCCCCCCGATGCGCAACTCGAAGAGCTGCAGCTCTACCGTTAATATTCTCAAGAAAAGAAACCTCCCCCAAGCTGAGAAACCATTCAAAAAGCTTGTGAGGCACAAGTATCTTGATAAAGTTGTATATTATCTGGATATGGTTCATCGACTCTTGCATGACGAGGCTTTTGACAAGCTTAAGCGCGAATGAGGGGATGGTCTGGTAGTGAACGCCGGGGAGGAGGACGGGTGGTCGTTCATCACCAAAATTTATCCTAAGTGGACCTCGTCCGATTTACCTCCAATTACTAACAGCGAGAAGGATACAGAGAATTGGGTGTTCTCTGTAATTGTGCAACCTGTGATTCACTGCTTGCGTGCCATCAAGCAGAAGACTATCCGCGCTATTTACGACCCGGACACAAATGATTGCTTCTCTGTGTCTTCGCACTCTGAGAGCACCATGTTCCCCATTCTGGATGGCCTGATTGTGACAAGCCACCCTGGGAAGCCTTTTGTGGGACAAAATATTATTGCCACCGTCGAAGTCAAGACCCCAAACGCCATGCAGCCTGCACTTGGTGGCAATCAAGGCATTTTTGCAGACATGCTGGTCAAGTACATGAGTCAGGTGCCCACTGGTACTGCGATGAAGTTCTGGTACACAGACAGCAAGAAGTTTCCTCATACCACAACAACTGAAACCAGGATACTGCTCCAGGTAAGTCGCCCAATGTCCTGTTCTGAGCACCCGACAATAATGAAGACACACATGTGTACGTGTAGGTCTGGCACCAGATGCAAACATCCAGGACTCAGTTTGCCATTCTCTCCAGCTATGTAGAAACCATTTTTTCTATGGAGAGAACAACACCCTGTACATGTCCCGACACTGCCTGAGCCATAGATCCCCTTTCCTGCAAACTCTGGTATTTCTGTACATCACTCAACTTCTGCCACAATGGAGGAAACAGCTGTTGAAGATTTCTGCGCTGCTAATCAATTGGTTCTCAGATGAGGTGAAGCAAAACACGTGTGGAGAAATTGGTGTTCATCCAGGGTATACATTACTTTGCAAAGCTTATTTCCCTCGCTTATCAATTGTTGGCCAATGGCTTGTTCATGGATGAGTACATCAACACTAAAATTAACGGTCTGCCGACCAAATATCTGGTCTTGGAGATTTCTGGGGACAATGAAGACAAGGAGGAGGTATCACTGTTGCAAATTGGATTGCGCAGGCAGGGGATTCACGAGTAATCAATGGTAATTGGCTAGGATAATACATCGTGTTCTTTTATAGGTTATCTACTTCCTAGTATATTCAGACCAATACTATCTACGCTGAGGAAGCTGAGACGAGGGGAAACACAGCGGGGAGTGAACCGGCACCAGAGCCAAGAGTGCTCTGCGCGCATCATATCTAAAACGGGAAATCCATATCCAAATATGGCATGACACGGTGAGCGTGTCATGTCAGTGTCTCGGTGCGGCGCGGCTGATGCGCATCTGGCAGGTCAGTACGCCTCACACCTCAAATACTACAACAATTACCTGAGAAAGAGGAGGAAGGGGAGCTGGGCAAAGTGACAAGGAAGATGCAAACAGTGACCCTTGAAATGAAGCCTGAGCAACATCCCTCAGCATGCCGAAGGAGTGGAAAGAGTGCTTATGAGAAGTGAAAGTCCAGCGCGACTGGGATCTGGAAGTCTCCTGACTAGTATATAAGGACCCCCTTCATTGCCACCTAGCCCCATCTCAACCTCTTGGTTTATTGGGCTAGGTAAGCCTTTGTTTATACGTTAGAATAGTCACTAATACACTTGGTTTATTGGGCTAGCTGAACAAGCTAACGCACAGTCGCCAGACCTCGTCGGTGCCGCCTTCTGATTAGATCCACGCAGTATCCCTCGTGGTGTGTTGACGCAAGTCCACATCATAAGTGCACGAAATCAGGTAAAATTAGATAAAATTAGGCAAAATTGGGCATTTTATAAAAAATAGTGGCTACATAAAAACTAAAATGAGTTATCTTGACCATTTATACAAGTTTGGCTTGTTTAGGGTTGGCATTGGCGATGGTGGCAGTCTCAGGAGCAAGCGCACATTGCCCAACGCTCCGGGCGTGCAAGGCGGGCACATGCCAATCGCGATCGCGCGGACTCAGACAACTCCGGTGGTCACCTGGGCCCATTACCGCTTCAGGTGCGACCCCTAGCAACAGGCTGTTTACGCAGGTGGTGACCTCGGTCGCTGGCGACAGGGGTCACCAGCAAGGTGACCAGGGCCAAGCGGCACCCGGGCGTATACTCTATATAATGGGGTGCATGGGAGTGGAGGAGGGTCTGAGCCACAGTGTCCATGCAGCTTGTTGAGAGCGAGGTGTTGAGAGCGAGGACGAATTGATCGTAGGACAGTAGTATGCTCTAGACCAGAGACACCACTGTGTTCCATTGGCCATGACTGGTAGCCAGTGAACATCGACAGAATTAGACAGTGTATTCCAGTGTACCCTGCTGTGTGCCAGCAAGGCACAATAGTGGTCACTGGCCACCACTGGTCATCACCGGGACCCAGCAGCAGCCAGAAATGACCATTGAACACCAGTGCACATCACTGATGTACAGCAGATTTGGCACTTAAATAATGGACAAGAGCTGCAAAGTGTCTTGTCACACTATCACACCAGTCACTATGTCACTGGCCCCCTGCACCCTCCGAGTCTGCCTTGCGTCTTGTGGCTTACACAAGCCCAAAAAATCACAGCATTGTTTTTTCCAGGTAATACAGAGCATTTATTTTTCACCGGCTATGCTATTTGAATATTGCACCTAGTGGTGCCTGGTCTTAAAACTTTATAATAATATTTGGCCATAATATCACCATTTTCTGTCTACCACACACTTTTGTGTCCTGTGTAACATAAAATAATGCACCAATAATAAAATACACTTCACTCTTTACAAAGGACCCAATATGGAAGGCAGACCAGCAGGGGAACTCCGCTCTTCATGAGCATTCTGGTTTTTAACTGCTACACAGGTCCTTACAGGTAGAGCAGCTATCTGATAATGTCAGCACATGCTTACTCTCTATCATAAAACTGGCCTGAAGCTAGACAACCACTTATCAAGGTTCCGGTGATGGCAGAGCCGGTTTCGGTGTTGAACGAGTGATTTAATGCCACTGTATACTGGTACATTCCACCAATGCTTGGTGCTGTGCACCAATGTCCGGTGGTTGCCACTGGACGCTACTGGATGCCGCTGGACATCACTGGACATCACTGGATATTGCTGGCCACATCCGGCAGTGTTTGCTGCCTACCATCAAAACATACCCATATATGGTGGTGAACATCAGCCAACACCGGCGACTGCCAGTGGCTGCCAGCGGACACTGTCTTTTCTAGTCGCCGGCATATAACTCGTTGTAGAACGGTATGTTTGGGTGAAAACCTCAGACTTTCATGTCGACTCGTGCAAACACTACTACCTTGTTGAAACGTTGGGGCTTAGCTCCATCATCATATTGCACTGGTCATCAGTATTTCAAGCAGTCTCTACGTGCGTCCACTGTGACGTGGTGGAAGCTAGCTACCGCGAGATTTGTGTGCCCGATACTTACGTTAAGTTTGGAATTTTGTGTAGATATGTCCCGTCTATGTACCAATCAACGGGCGCACATCATTACCAAATTAGGAAATGCATCAAAAGTCGGAAAACCCCGTTTAGAACTTGCAATTAAGACTGTGACCAAAGCATTCACAGCAGTGATCACAGCCGAACGTTGAACTACGACGGTTCCTTCATGCCTTCTGCAACATACCTACAAATGTTCCTCCGCCTCGCTGCGGAAATTCCTAATGCCCCCTGGGAATGGCGCGTGTGGCAGGAGCGGACGGGTCTGATAACCGCCCCTTGGAACACTCGGGATAACCCGCCCACGGGTCTGACCGTGAAGGATATCGAGGATATCAAGCTGTTTTGGGATGCCTACTCCGAGCAGGCTTACGCGGCGCGCGACTCCTTTGCCAGCCTCAAACTAAACGATGACTATTCGTACGCCCGCTCAAAGCTTTCTGACTGGCTCACGAAAAATATTGTATTCTCATGGAAGCTGACGAAGGACGTTGACAAGCTTATGATGGAGTATGAGGCCACTTATGACCATGCCCTGTACCTATCACAGACGGTGCGTAGCATACCGTATGTGTCATAAGATCTTATTGACCTGGGATCAGGATCCATCTGCCTCTGGGACCATTAAACAACTGCGCTGGCCTCATGAGGCACTGGCAAAACTCCTATTCGCCCAAGATGGATTTGTATCTCATCCGATGTTCACTTTCCCAAGAACCAGGCGATCCGTGCAAAGATTCCTTGAAAGCCTCATTACACTGGCTTTTCAACGCCAGCGCAAGGCTTCGCAGGCCCATTACAAGAAGACGGAAGTCCAGATCGATGCCTTCAAGCATCGCGTATACTCACGTGAGCAGCCACTATGCCATGATGTGAAGAGCATGCTAACAGAGGCATCAGTTAACCAAAGTGGGCAAGCATGCTCTCTAGCGGATCTCACTCAGTACGTTAAGGATGCGTACCGGCTGAAAGACGTCCTCGACAAGACCTTAGATCAATCTCACGTTAGCGTGCAAGATGAAGTGACGCAGCAGATTAAGCTGCTTGAGGGATGGATCCGGACAAAAGGATCGCCCTCGAGTGTGGCGGCTACTGAAAGTACGTGGAAGGCATGTTCATAAGGCAGGTAGACGAGCATTGATTCGTTACAGAGCTCCCTATGTTCGTTCAGAACGCCCTGCCCGAGCTGACTAAGGCCAACAAAGTCGACCTATTTGCGAAGGCTATCACGGATTCCATGTGACAACAGCGACAAGGACGACCGCAAAGCCACGCGAAATTAGCAAGTTCGGCCGGTATAGACTCTCAGTGACTCATACCCGTCATTACTGCTGACAATCTGCGCCGTTTCATATGCCTTGTTAACACGTCTTTTGATATCTTGACTCTTGAGGTGGGAGGAAAGTCAGACAAAAGCTCGCATCGACGAGAACTTGGGGGCGAATCTCCTCGTCAATTTATTTGTCGCACAAACAGATATACTCCGGATTGTACCTACCTGTTAGCCCTCAATGGTGCACCGGCCGGGAATAGACGTACGCGAGGCTATACGGCGCGTATGCGATGCGATGACCACGTCGACCTCGCAGTCGTCCTGGTCGCGCCGAGCTAGTGTTCTCCTGTATAACTCAAGAGCTGCAGATGTAGCGACTCGTGCCGCATCGTATACTCGCAAGCGATTTTTGTCCTGCCTGTCGACACAATGCAGTTCGAGCTTCGGGAGAAAATACTTTCGTGCTCGAGCCGCACTCGCGCTTCGGCACAGCGACAAAGTTGATAGCCAGCTTGAATGTTATCGATAGATCGATGCTACAAGGACCGCTAGATGATGTTAAGCCTCAAGGCCTCAAGCTTCAAGCTTCAAGTGGTATATACTGTATGGTAGCAACCGCATTAATGCGGCGGCCCTCAGGAGATATAAGCGCCACAATGCTTCCGGGAATCGCCGCAGTAAGCTTTGATGCCTCTGCCCGGCGCCGGCAGCGTCACTCGGTCCTGCTCCGTCCAAGTCGACCACTCGTTTTTTCGCTCAAGATTGGCAAGTTTTTCACAAATCATATTCTCAAATATCACTCCAATTTATGGCTCCTATCTGCTACGATCGCCAGATTTTGTGCGAAAACCCCCGGGTGCGTGTCGAGCATGAGTCAAGGTTGTACCATGCAGCACCGTGCTGGTCGCTCAGCTGGTTGATCAGGTACGCAGTATCGACTGTACCAATGGCTGCACCAATGTTACGCGGGGCTCTAATTTGAGTTGTGGTACACGTTGTTGGACCCTAGACGTATCATGATGTATTGATCGTCACGGAAAGCGCGAGGCTAATCATGCTCCGTTCAACGCGTGTCGTCCGGAGTCTTGACCTGAACATCTACGCGTCCGCATCTTACAGTCTGCTCGCATAGCTCGGTTGAGCCAGAGCCTCTGATGCATATCTATTCGATGATGCCAGTCTAGACAATGTATCGTAAGCGAGGCATTCGTCGGATTCAGACCCTGGCTATGGCAAGGTTGCCAATGTACATACTATGCGCTCCACCAGATAAAGCTTCCCACACCGCTTCCAGCGTGTTTGCGAAGCAGATTGCGACATATACTCTCCGACCCAATGGTCCAATTGCGACTGAACCATCCGCGTGCAGCTTGTCTGTAGGAGGTCGGTGCACGGAAATTACGTGCGAAGCTGATCTACGCCACTTCCCCTTACGTGAAGTCAATTTCCATACTGTGGACGTGCGTACGCATCCTGTTCGTGCTGTCCATCTTCCAGACCCTTGGACTTCGTGGTGAGCTCTACTTCTCAGCCTCATTGTCTCCCTAACGCACCTGTGGGAGCTCAGGGGTCAGTGCTAGGCTACGTCCTCGATTAATGTCCGACCAAGATAAACCCTCTCCACAGGTTCTATAGCTTCGTTGCAGCGCAAGCCCGTTGGCATCCTCGCGCTTTCGTCGTGGCACGGGACTTAAAACCCTGCGAGCACTGCCGTCAACTACACTGCTTACTACTCGACGCCGGATCCGTACGCCCTCTGCCATCTTATCATCATGAATCAGTATTTTCCGATGACTCCACCCCTCGACGGCGAGCCTATTAGTACCACCCGACCGCTTACCGAGGAGCCAGAAGCTCTCAGTGAAGAATTATCCCATCTCGGTGAACCCAGTGAATACTGTTATGCGGCAGATCCGATTGCTCCAGATACAGTGCACTACGACATCTACGAGCGGCACCACAAAATGTACGTTACCAATTACTCGTAGCAGAGCCCACATCGCTCATGAATGTTTTACAGCTCTTCTGTATTTGAGAACTGGAACTTGCAGCCATTCTCTCTCCTATACCCAGAGTAAGGATGCCATTCGAATAGCACAAGTATTTACTCTGATTATGCAACTCCCTCAGCTCTCCTCGCGATCCCGCCGGCTGGCATCAATATGTCACCCCGGAAGGCAGACCATACTTCTGCAACACGGAACTGGTGAGCCATTCGTCATGTTTCGATACTGATCTAATATTCTCCGGAGCTAATCTCACTTTCATCAGAATCTCTACACAAATCTCCACTTGACGCGCAAGACAATCGCATCCGACCTTATTGATTCTATAGAACGCACAGCGCGCTCCCTGCGCACGCGATATTCAACGCAACGGCCTCTGTCCGAAGATGGTCCGGAGCTCGTCATCGCGCTGTTGCAGGACAATAAATGGGGGTACTACTTTGCAGATAATACTTGCAAGACGGTGCGCTGGGTCGATCCGATTCCTCTTTTGAAAGTCGTTGGGTCTTGCACTCGTTCTGTACCTACAGACAGCCATCTTAGTCCGTCATTACCTCTTTTTTCATTTCGTTCGTTCATTTGTTGACTCTTCTTTCTCTTAGATCTTATGAAAGAGTCGCAATACTGGTAGGCTAGGCCGGCGACAGGGTGAGTAGAGGGTAATCTCCGAGAACTTTCGGGCCAAGTTGATCATATAATAGTAGATATAATCGCTCAAGCTGACTCTTACTGAAGGCATCACGTGGAAATGTTCCCCGCGGCACGCGAGTTGAAGCAGGAAACTATTACCGAACTTTCCGGCCTCCTAGCATGCGCGTACACTGGTGCGTCTATACATGTGCCGCGATCCAGAGTCGCATTCGCTCAATTAGAGTTAGATACGATAACGTCAACAACCGCGACCTCTCCGTATCCAGCCGACAAGCTAGAGCTAATATTTAAAGTGCTGGAGTCCGTCGAAGGTCAGTAGACCATATGCCTCATTTACAAACCACTAACTCCCATTCTGAGCAGTGGGAGATATCACCGGCCGGAGCGCGTGGATCGTCGGTGAGTCCATTATCTCAGGCGGCTCTGCATGTCCCTCGCTCACGCGTACTGTTTCAGCCCGGTTCATGAATGTATTCAGTACGTACACCTACCGCGCGCTTTGCACCGACCTTCTGATGACCTGGTAGAACGCGAAATGTTTCTTCATTACTACGGCCAAGACGGTGCTCGTCTCGACCGCGACCAGTCGGTGCATTTCGTTAAGAAGGAAATCCCGCGCCCGAGATACATTTTCTTACTCTTCTCGTACTTTCTGTTCTACATGCCCTACGTCCACAAGAAGAAGCTGGACGAGGTGTTCGTGGACTCGTTGTTGAACGAAGAGCACTGGAACCGGCTCTTGGAGAATCTGCGGAAAGAGTGGGAGATGACAGTAACTCCGGTACGTCTCTCAGGTCCAAAGGTGCATACAGGGTAGCTCAAGCTCAGATATAGTCCACTGTGCTTCTTTCTGCGAATGTCGCCTTCCTCGCCATTGGGAGCGTCGACAATTCTGGGGGGTCCGGGCAGTCTTCGGGGCCACCTTCTTACAGGAGTCCCGAGCAAATCATGAGCTATGTTTCCACGGTATTCAGTCTGGCGTCCTGGCTCGTATGCTGGATTCTCGTGCAGAGGCATGCACCAGCCATTGGCTCCTCTACTTCGGCAGGGGTGTGTAAGGTATCTATTACCTCTCGCAATTGCTGACATCACGCCAGATCAACTACCTAAAACAGCGAGAAAAATGTATGCTAGGTCTCGAAGCCGATGCCATTGTGTTCAGGTGTGTCCGACTCAACCGTCCAGTGCACAGTTGCATTACCCTGACTTCGTGGCTCCACCAGTCTCCCGTCTGCTTTCTTCACATGGAGGTGCGACTTGATTCCTACGCCAACACTCACTACCGCTCAACCGCCATGACAGCATGCTCCTCTTTTGCGCAGCCGTCGTCTGGATTTGCCTCGTGCACAGTGATTTCGCCACGCAGTTCACAATGATCTTCGTCCTCGGACTGATGGCCGCCACACTATGCATCGTCCTGCAAGTGTCTTGGACTTCTATTGCGCCGCTCGAGGATAACCTCTGGACTCGCCACAAGGAGGCCGCCACAAAGGTGCGCCAGGCGTCCAAGGAATTTGTTCAGAGGCGCGGCTCGTGGAGCTTCAAGTTGGGCACTATGCCGGCGCCTCAAGTGGCGGATCGTAGTAGAGTTTGAGGACTATACGGTTCGTCTCAGCAACACAGAGGATGTACGCAAGCTTATAGCTATCCTTCCAGCTGCCTGAATGTGCTGGACACAGTTTGGGGCTTCTACGACGTTTATATCGCACGCCTTGCGGGCTAGCGTTCGTAGATTAAAGGCGACCACTGGCACCAATAGTCTTAAACAACTATTTAATAGTACACACCGTATTTAATTGTCGGCGCATGATATAATACTACCCATGATGCTTCATTCACGATCGAAATCTTGCTGCCAGCTGCCGAAAAGAACGTCTTCCGAAATGGCTCGTGACAGATTGCCGAATGTGAGGCAGAGCGTTACGAGATTGCGCTCTGTCAACGCGCTCATGTCCATCGCGAGACGACAGAAGTGTGGTGATGGTCCGTCGTTGCTTCAGCACCTAGCTCGTTTGTGAGTGGCAGTGCTGCGCATGGATGGAATTATGTTAACGACAGCGGCTCCTTTGCGTTTTTCTCATTCTTTCTTAAACCCCTCCGACGATATTAACCCAGCCTCGCTGCATCGCATTTTAGTTTTATCCCAGTCACTGTCCTTTCCCATAGGCGGGACATGTTCCGCCATTCAAACAGAGCAGACACTGCAAGCCTCTTCCCCCCTCCTTTCCCGGTTGCCCGCGCGGCACCCGACGATGACGCGGTGATACCTCCCACCAGAGGATCTGCTGTGTGACACGCCTGATCAAGACCGTACATGTGCTGTCCCGCGGCCACACACGAAACATAGGGCCGCAGCGAGACGCTCTGTGAAAGTTGCGGAGTGCGGTTTGCATGCTGCAGAAGGTCTGCGGGGTCGTCGCCAACCCAAATCTCCGTAACGCTGGAGCGCGTGACGAGGCGATGATAAGTATGGTGACAGTGACAGTGACAGTGTGACTCCGCACACTTGTCTCTCGCCATCATGGAGCATCGTGGTCTAGTATACCAGAACTTCTGGCAGCTTGTCAATAAAATACGAGGTACGGTAAAGTTCATTTTTCTTCCAAGTGCCTGTGATTTTGAAGTTATTTCTACCGCAGCACCCCTTCCCAAAGAAGGGCCTGGTATTCTGGATATCCTGCCCACGGAGTTGGTGGTCCAAATCCTCCAGCATCTGTCGACACCTGAGATTGTCCTTTGTCAGAGAGTGGGTAGAGAATACTATAACATCTGGCATGCTCATTATCATGAATTGTCATTTCAGATCAGTCGCAGCTTTCGGGATATAATTACCGCATCCGCGGAGTTGCAACATAAAACAACGTGCTATACTGCGCATGTCACTAATGGACCCAACAACAAGCTGGGCATAGTGGAACTCATATCCCGCATCTCTGCATGGGAAAGCACGTGGAAGACGCTGCAGGTCGCTAATCACCCTATGGTCCTGCGATTGAATGAAGTTCCGTGGAACTATCGCTCGGGTTCGATATTCTCCTGTATCACACGTTCAAATCGCGGGATTTCGTTCTACCAACTGCCGTCAAAGCAGCGAGAGATACCATACGTGCATTGGACCATCACAGATCTTGGCTACGAACCAGTGTTCGTCTGTCACGACTACACGCAAGACCTTGTTGTGACCGCTGAGAATATGTAAGCCATTCTCATGCATAAGTAATCCACCTTTAGCTTACTCTTGTCATTCAGGGAGGATGCATTCGGCCCCTGCGCGCGACTTCACCTCTTGCATGACAAGACCGGGGAACACCATCTCGCAGCTAGGAAGCAATATTTGCAGCTTCCGACGGCCATCCCATTCGTTGGTCCTAATGATCACGATCTCCACATCTTTGGCGATCTCCTTGGCTTGATCGTGCGCGTTGAGGGCGAGCTGTTCAATCACAGAGGCTCAGTGATGACGAAACATCTACTTGTCTACAACTGGAAAACAGGCGCCCTACTGAAGGTAAGTGTAGAAGTTTTGCCGTCTCACTTGTAACTAACCATCTGCATGTACTAGAACCTGAACGGCGAGCTACTCTCGCACGAGATTGTTTTCGTTGATGATCGCCACTTCCTCGTGCCATTCATGCCACACACACTTCCAGGCGCATATCTCGCCGTCGTCGATTGCTACCGCACAGACCCAGACACAAACGAAGCCATGACGCGGGGCAAGATCCAGGACGTGATCTTCAAGCATGCGTCGCTTTTATTGCAGCTCCCGCCCGTCAGGGACGCACCACACATCGACTACCAGGAAGTGCACGCCATGAGCAGCACCGGCACGCAGGCTGAGCGGTTACACCCGCCCGGGCGCCCGTTCTACGTCGACTACACAAAGCGGATCTTCGTCCTCAGCATGCTCATCGGCGAGACGTGGGGCCGGGATCGGATGCACTACACGCTTCTCGTGCCTGCGCCCGCGATCCTGTCCCGCCTCGGCGCCTCCGGCCCCGGCACCCCGCCCATGCGGGCGGCGGAGCAGCACAGATGCATGATGCTGCCGTGGGCCGCGTGGGCGCCCGACGCGCGGTTCATGGAGGACGAGATGGAGGATATCTGCAGCACGCGCTACCTCACGAGCACGCGCATCGACGAGCGCCGGCTCGTGACCGTCTACGACTTCGCGAGCGCGCCCGCGCTGCTGCGCGACCTACGCGCCGACGGCGGCGGCGGCGGCAATACGCTCTCAGAGCCCTTCAGCGTGCCGGACCCCGTGCCGGTGCCGGACGAAGGCGGGGTATTCGAGCGGTGCGGCGTTCTCACCGGCGCGCCGTGCCGCCGGACGGTCACGGACATCGCTCTGCCTGACATACGGATGGTGACGGACTTCATCTCGCAGGGGCACCGGACGGTGCGGCTATATGAGGATGGGCTGGTCGTTTATGGGCCCACCATTGACTCTGAGTACATTTCTACGCGGTGCCGCTGTTGACGATGAGCTGATGCCTTTTTTGCAGGGTGCATGTATACGCTATATGAACTTGAGCGAGAGAAGTCGCAGTTTTGCATTTCGAAGTGGGGTTTCTACCACTGTATATCCATAACCTCGAGTGCAATTATATCATTACTGTCCTCTAGTATGAAGAAATCTGTAGCAAGGGTGCTCTCTCAGATATGACCAGTAAACTCTAGGCGAAACCAGCATTAGGGCACCCTATAGGATAAAACCAGAGACGGATCAAAAGCATTGCGTGAATTAACGAGTGTAGAGTGTATCTCAAGCAAGTGTCCATGCCACGACCGCGCGGCCCCAAACGCACGCCTCAGTCGCTCTCCGTCTCATACTCGTCCGAGTCGTTACCGTTTTCGTTCCCATTGGACGAGCGGCGGCTGTCCGAGCTCACACGGCGCTTCAGGTCGTCATAGAGTTCGACAAGGAGCTGCCCGCCGCTGAGGCCTTCGACCTCGCCGACGCGCTTGCCGGCCTCCCAGTGAATCTCCTTGCGCGGGTACGCCATCGCGAGGCGGAAGCCGAACCACTCGCCGTTCTTCTTCCCGACCTTCTCCATCGCGCGGAGCAGACCCTGCTCGCCGAGCTCCTCGCCATCGGGCGGCGTCGCAGGGTCGCCCACCGGTGCGTACTCGGGCGCGTCGGGGATGAGGAGGGTGTCGACGAACGCGTACACGGCCGTCAGTGAGTCCATCTCGCCGAAGAAGCGCACCGCGCGCCGGCCGTCGGGCATCCGCACGCCCACCCGCACCGTCTTCCCGCGCCCTGTCTCGCCCGGGCGCGGCTCGCGCGGGAGCAGCGCGCGCCGGCCGTACCGCCGCCACGCCATGCGTGTCGCGGCCCACGCCGCGCGCTCCTCCTCGTCCCTGCGCGCCTGCTCCTCCGCGCGCTGCGCGGCCTCGGCCTGCTGCCGTGCGTCCTCCTCAGCCTGCCGCCGCTCGGCACGCTTCTTCTCGATGCGCTCGCGGTCGCGCCGCGCACTCTCCTCGAAGGCGCGGTCCTGCTCGGCGCGAAGGGCACGGTCGTGTTCGCGCTCACGCGCTTCGGCGGCACGGGCGGCTTCTTTGTCGAGCGTCTGCGCGCGGACGCGCGTGAGATACGGGATGACGCGAGGGAGGAGGTGCTCCTGCAGGTGTGTGACAAGTGTGCGAGCGGACGTGGGCGCCGTCGCGGCAGGAATGGAAGACCCTTGGTGACGGGATAGGATGGTGAGCACGGGCGACTGCGAGGAGCCTGAGCCGCTGCCACGCCGAGCTTGCAGGGCGATGAAGGCGACGAACGGATAGGTTGTTGCCTGTAGCTTTTGTGCAGCTGTACGAGGGGTGAGCAGGGCAACTCAAACCGCCGACAGTCCGCACTTACCACTCCATGCATCGCGGTCACGGATATCACCGCCCCAGACAAGGAAATCGTTGTCATGCATCAAGCGCACAAACTCGGGGTCGGTCAACGTGGTGCTATGGAATGCGTTAATCAAGAGCGGGTTCATTAGGGAATACGCGTACCGTTTGAAAGTGGCCACGTCGTCGTGCTCCTCGCTAACGAGGACGATGCAGCCAATCTTGGGCTCAGACTCCTTGGCGCAAGCCTTCGCAAAGACCTCGTAACCGCCAACGAAAAAGTCGGGAAGGAAGCGAGCGTTCGCTTCGTCGTTCACCCGACGACTGAGGACGGAGGACGAGCCCGAAGCGATGCCAGATGTCTCGCCTTCGGTTGCCTGGGATCTGGAGAACGAAGCACAGCCCGTCTCTTCCTCGAGACTCTGGATCCAGCGCTCCGCGGCGATCTTGGGGTCTTTCGTCGAGCTTGGTCTGTGGCTGAACCCCGAGCTGCTGAGCCCAAGCCCGAGAGTAGTGATTGAAAATGCCGGTGGGACAGCTGGCAACGGTATCGGTATGCGCAGTGCGCGAAGGATGGCACGGAGAAGCGTGTAAGGAACGGCAATGATGGCTATGAGGATGCGCAAAGGTCGGATGAGGAAGATGTTCACGGCGTTCGACGTCGGAGCCTAGTGACCTGATGATGAAGTGGATTAAATAAGAGTAGACGTCCATGCTTACCACACGGTCGAACTGCCGGCCAGGTGCGCGTCCACCCAAGAGACCTGCTTGCTCCGAGTCGTCGACGCTGAAGGACTCTACACGTACTGGGGTCGAGACATGTGACGAAGATGCCTCGGAATTTCGTGAGATTGATAAAGGAGCGGAAGAGTTGGGTTCAAACATGAGGTTCGCAGCGCGCTGTAACGGCGGGATGAGCGACGTGGTCTTCGGGGAGCGTGCAAAGCGTGGCGTGGGAGGCAGAGCGGTAGCCTCGCGAACCACAAGGCTCACGGGGCGTTCGTCGCCACAGCAGTATATCCCAAGGAATATTAACAGCTGAAGCTCACCTGAACGTCCCATTGCGCGCTCTCCAGCAAGTTAATTGCAACCTCGGCGTCGCCTCCGTCTGTCAGAGCCTGGAGCTGAGCAACAGCCTCCTTCTGAGTGGGAGAGAGAGCGTCGTAGTCCATGAGTAAACAGTGTGGTGAAAAAAAGTCTCTATAGATTTCGGTCAGTGTATTAGGTTGCTTGCATGCGTCGTGAAAGTGATGAAGGTGTGGTGGCAGGCTCGCCTCGGAGGCTGCTCGGAGTTATCGTCCGGGCTTAGCGGAGGTATGCCCAAATACAGTGTGGTAACCATCTTGTCAGGCAGTGCAAAATAATGTTGCAGAAACTAAACGCCTCCGCTCCTCGTTCCTCATCTCCGTACTTGACTCTCAATACCGTCTCCGTCTCGATCTCATCCTCTCAAAAGCCATGAGCGAAGTCATCAACGTTCTGGTTGCCTTTGCTGTCATAGTCTTCGTCGTCCGCTGGGCAACATCTGGTGCGTCGGCTGTGGTCCTCGCTAACCGTGCCGTACCTGACGCGCGGGGGTTAGGCAAGGAGTCTTCTGCAGACGGGCAGTCTCCGGCGGCAATCCTTGGATTTAAGCCCAAGACTGTTACACAAGAACAGGTCAGAATCTTGTCCAGACTACTCGCGGATAATATTGACGGTCATGGGTAGGTTGATGCCATACGAGCCATGTTCCCTGATATACCAGCGTATGCGCGGCATGACAGCTGAAAGTGCACATCCCATTGACACACTGTTGGTTCCAGAGACAATATTCGCTATGATCTGCTACGAACCGGCAGTGTGCAGACCACGTCTAACAAGATCTTGGAGCGCGGAATCCTGTCTGCAGTGCGTGTCCATCCGCTCCCATCTGATACAGCCGCTCAGCGCTCTTCAGCCCCCACCTGCCTACTACCGCCTCTACCCCCGCACGGCACCGAACGATGCAACACATCCCGCCAATACGAACGTCAATGCGAACACGGCTGCTACCCCTGGCGCGTCGTCTTCGAAGCCAAAGGAGAACCTGATCACACGATTCCATCTCGAAGATCGCCTAGCCAGCTCTGACACCTCATCTGTGTCCGAGCCCTCGCACAAGTGGGAGGATGACCCCAGCAAGCGTCAATCTATGCTCAGGGAGCGAAAGGCGCGGATGGTCTTGGCTGCGCGAGAGTGAGTGGTTTAGTCTTACATCATTGCATGGGTAGTTCACGTGCTGCTGCAGACGATTGCTCGCACAGCAAAACCAGCAAACAGCATCCTCTAGCCAATCCTTCTGAACCTGCAACAGTCGCCTCCACACGAGACGCATGGGTTTGAGGTGGTATCCAGTCCGGCCCCGGTGGTGATTTTGCTAGTCATCTTCCTCACTAAGCTGTCCCTTAAGAATTGTAGGCATCATGTTTAGCCGGAATAAACTCAATCCCCTCTTGCACCACATCGAAATGCGGACTTCGCCTGGCTTTCAGGTCTCAGCACATTCTGCCTCTACGCCACAAAGTCTCAGCCCGCCTCTGATGTCATCAGAAGCTTGCGCACGCCATTCGTTACGTTTTTTCCGAGAATGCCGCTGTGTTGAATCTACGTCGTCCCAAGCAGGGCGGGCGCGCAGGCGGGTAAAACAACTGGCTAGTAGGTGCCCATTACCCGCCTCGGGGTGGAAGGAGCCCTTTCGTTCAGGGCGAGCAAGTGACGGTGGTGCGTAGGCGGGTTGGGCCAAGAAGTGTATATCATATTGTTCGCTGGTCTGTGTTCTGGTCACGTCGGCTTGACCGAGCGATATTAGGTTGTATGTGACCGTCTTGTGCTGGCTGTGCATTCTAGAGACGTCCAATTCGTTCCTCCTGGCCGGGCTGTGGAACGCACGCCTTATAGACTTAACGCGAGCCGTGTTAGGCTCTCTTATGATCGGACCAGGCAAGCAGCACGACCACCTAAGTGCTCTGACAGAGAGTGGCACCGTGATGCGTCGCCTGTGCCGCCGCCAGGAATGCGTGTGGTGCAGCATAGTGATAGCTGAGTGCATGCCGCGTGATGGGCTTTGAGACTTGTAGTCGTCGCACCGTCACGGTGCTGCTGTGTACCTATACCTGATATATACTCCTCGCAATAGTAGGAAATGCACTGTGAACATGAGACCACCCTGAACATGAGACCATCAACAACGGACCAGGCAATATTGGCTTCCATCCATTCATACTACATAGATCTGCCTCTTCGTGGTCGGACAAGTCCTTCTTCACGCCGTATGAGATTAAGTATCGTAAGCTCCATAGAAAATAACCTAATGGATTAAATTACGCTGTAGCTGCTCAGAAATGCCCGCAGACATAACATCGTGGACCAGAAGCAAAAGTGCGCGAACAATGAGGGTGTCGACCGCACTGGGGACTCAGCGCATCAAATTTGGGCGCATCAGATGATGCATCAAACTTCCCAACCGCGGTTTCCATTACACCTCCGCGCTTCCGACACCCGGCAGCCTGCACCCGTTCACACCCCTCTCACCGTCGTTCGCGATGCATTTCTCGACGACGCTGCTCGCGACGTACGGCCTCCTGCAGGTTGCTGCGGCGTTCCGGCTGCCCTTCCGTCTTCCCTGGGCACACGCACACCTCAACGACGGAGAGCAGGTTCCTCTTGCCCTCCCGACAGAGGAGTCGGCCGTTCCTCGCATTGCCATCGTCGGCGCGGGCGCAGCCGGTTCGTCGGCTGCATTCTGGATTGGAAAAGCGAAGGAGCGATATGGTCTTGACGTTGAGGTCGACCTGTTCGACAGCAACGGGTACATTGGAGGACGTAAGTCCATGTCTCAATTCTGGTTTCAGTGTTGTAGTCTCTTGTGAGATTCGAGCATTGGGCACTCTGCTTCGGTACTACTGTTTCGTTACTGTAGCTAAGAGCTCTCCGAGATCTCTCCCTGTATGAGCGATGTCGTGGGCTCTGTACCCGGACATAAGTTGAAGTTGAACCGAACTTGTGTCCTGCTACAGTCTTGTTCGTGATTAATCTGACACATGTTCAATTTACAGGTAGCACTACAGTGCACCCTTATGAAAATCCTGAACTACAACCTATTGAACTTGGCGCCTCTATATTCGTAGAAGCCAACCTGAATCTCTGGCGTGCCACGGAAGAATTTGGGCTCTATCGCTCAGACTGGGATGAGGGAGAGGACACCACGGGGCTCTGGGATGGTTCTCAATTCGTAATCACGGTGAGTGTTTCCCGAATTGTGATACAAGCTTGCGCTTATGGTGGCTAGACCAGCGGCGGATGGTGGGACGCCGTCAAGGTGGTCTGGAGATATGGCTTTTTCGCAGTGAGCCGCACGAAGGCACTGTGAGCTACTCGTATTGTCTCCACCCTCTCCCACTGAACAAGGCGTAGGGTTCAGTCAATGATCACAGATATCTCAAACCTTTACGGGCAAGATATGGGATCTAAGCCGTTTACGAACATCACGACTTTGGCCACCGAGCTTAACTGGACGGATGCCGTCGGGCAGACTACGACGGAATTCTTCGACGAAAAGGGGATTAACCACAAATGGACAGCAGAGATGGTGGACGCTGCAACTCGTGTCAACTATGGCCAGGTACGGAAGTGCGTATCTTTGTGAATCGCATTCTGATGTGCTGCTAGGATGCCGACGCGATCCATGCGCTTGAGGGCATGTGCTCTCTTGCGGCGACAGGGGCATCGCAAGTCATTGGAGGTAATTGGCAGATCTTCGACAACTTCGTCAAGCGATCCAACTCAAACGTGTACCTCAACACTACGGTACGTGGTCACTGCCTCATCGTCATCAAGTGGCTATAATAGTCCTTCGCAGGTTAAGAGCATTTTGAAGAACGAGGACCATTATACTCTTCGTGCGCAGACCCACGGCTCGTCCCATCTCATAGAGAGAACCTACCGGGCTGTCATCATTGCCGCCCCCTTCTACAGCAGTTCCATCGACCTCTCCCTCATTTCGGCGCCTGTGATCCCGCCGCAGCCGTACGTGCATCTGCATGTCACGCTCCTCAGCACGCCGAACGCGCACCCCCGCACGCGCTTCTTCGGGCTCAAGGACTCTGACTCGGTCCCTACCACAATTCTCACGACGTCGGAGGCCGTGCGCCAGAACCCCGACGCACCCCCGCCGGAGTTCAACTCGATCTCGTACCACGGCAAGATCCTAACCCTTGATGGCCTGCCTGCGAACACGAGTACGGATGGTGGCGAGGAGTGGAGCGTCAAGATCTTCTCGAAGCAGCGGCTCGAGGACAGCTGGCTCCGGCGGGCGTTCGGGAAGATCGGGTGGGTCTACAGGAAGGAGGTGTGTCGTTGGTCTGTTCGGACCGGCGAAGCACGAGCTGACCGGCTTTTTGCTCCTTCGTAGTGGGACGCTTACCCAGTGCTGCCGCCGGCCTCGAAGTTCCCGCCCATCAAGCTTGAACAGGGCCTGTACTACGTCAATGCTTTCGAGCCGTACGTCGCCTGGCTCTCTTGCTTGACTCACACACTCATGGTCTCCTTCAGATTCATCTCCACGATGGAGACCGAGACCATTGCCGCGCGCAACGTTGTCGAGCTGCTCATGCAAGAGGAGTTCGACGCCAGCATCTGCAAAAGTGACGACACTGGCCCCAAGAACGATAACACTACGTTCGTGTACGGCTGGGACTGTTGAACCGTATCCTTCAGTCTCCATTGAACCATACGCTGCATGCTCTTATGTCTTGCTGAATTTTTTTTATCATTTGGAACGAAACGAGCGTCTAGATTTGCGACTGCTCGTATGTCTATATATTGCTCAGTCCTATGCCTTGGTTTTACTTCGCTTCATTCAGGCTTCATTTGACAAAATACATTTTCTTTCGACTCAATTTCGCGCAGGCATTACGCTGTCTAAGCCTGGTGACGGTGGTCGGGATTAATATCACTACTTACAGCAGTCAGTATCGAGACGCAGACTGCGACGACTGAGTGGGCTTAAGAGGGACAGGGAGCTGGGTGTTCTTGAGGGCATCGAAGGCACGTACGGCGCGCTCGGTGTGATATCTGCCGAACCAGCAGATGCATCGACGACTGACCTAGTAGACCTCACATCAGGGAAAACCTCCGGGGCTAATTAGATATAACTTCGCCTAGTTACACGTAGTTAGTTGATTGGGACACCTTAGGTTACCTAGATCAGTCCCCCAGTTACCTAGTCAACTTATCGTACTTAATAACACTTAGAGCATGCTTAGGTGGTCATTACACTACCATTAGAAGCACTAGTTCGTAGATACAATACACTGAATACAATGCGAGCATGCATACATACTGTATTATGAACGTCCGGAGTGTGACGATGACCGCAACACCAACAGCGGCGAACAGGGCTAGTCATCAAAGACGAGACGCGCAAGCGCCCCACGCACGGCCTGCTTTGATCTTTGGGATGCCGGAGTAGCAGCGAGACCACTGGAGCTGTCGCACAGTGGGTGTTAGTTACTGCAGACAATAGCAAGCGAGTAGCTTACCAGACGTCAACATAAACTTGATGAAGGATGCGGTGGTAGAATCTTGGACGGTTCTTGCGAAGGTCGTCGAAGAACTCGATGACGTTGTTGTATTCTTCCTCGGCCTTGGCAGCGGTGTATTTCGAGGCCTCCGCTGGCTCGATACCACCTGCCCAGTCATCTAAAGTCAGCCGGATCTACCAAAGTATTAGTTAGGTTGATGACTTGGAGTACAGTTAAGTTCAGAAACTCGAAGGCAAGACGTACCGCAGCACTCGCGAGAGCAAGCATTGGTACGGGAATTTCCTTCTCGAGTGGCTTCTCAGTGCTGGATGACACAAACCGGACGGAGTGAGCAACTACAAGTGAAGGCTTGCCACGGCGGGGTGAGAATAAAGTCTCTTTAATGATCTCGGCGAAGATCGGACGCTTGAATGGAGCACTGCCATCAACGCGGCCCTGTGTCGCACAAAACCAATCGTTAGTTATATGCCAACAAGAGGGTTTTAAAGATAACATACCATGATATCGCCAGGGAAGATGTAGCCAAGGTCGTGTACCAGGGCTCCGACTCGATGGAAGCATGGCCTGGTCTGGTCACCAGGCTTGTCCGAGGTGAGGCCATACTCCTTCGGCACGCTGGATTTGCACAGCCCCTTGAGGTTGCCGCATATGAGCACAACGCGTTGCTCGCCCTGTTGACCGTGGAGAGATGATAGTGTGTGATATCAGTCACGGTCTCATAAAATACCATTACCCTGGCTCACCGACGCAATAATCTTCGCAGCATAGTCACGATCAGCCATCACTTTTGCTGCTATCTCTGGAACATCCTCGATAGTCGCAGCCCCAATGAGAAGGTCAAGCTGAGATGGGACCCGCAGAGAGACGGGATAGATTCCTACAACGCAGCAGTAATCAGATAATAAACCAAGGATGAGTAGCGTGAAACTGTACCACAGTTGAAGGCCGCATCAGCGATGCATTCCTCATGAAAGCGGTTCATGACGCGTGTGACTGATTGCTGCTGGCTACTGAGATTTAACTGACCTTTTGCGTTCAAGACCAGCGCAGTGATATCAGCATCTGGCGGCTGCTCACTGAGAGCAGCAGCTTCTTGGTCGTTGGCCTGGGGTTCAGAGACATTTCCGGCAGTATTGGTGGTGACAGCACCTTCTTTCCGAGTGGTAGTACTTCCTTTGCCAGTTGGAAAGTTGTTGGTCTTGAACCGAGGACGCTTGACCCATCAAGAATATGAGCTGCAGCATTAAAAGAGAAAGCAAATCGTACCTCGAGTTCGGCTTGCAAGGCACGGCTTGTCGTTGTCATCTGTGCACGGCCGTTCGTCTTCTTGTCCTTCAAAAGAGGCGTTAGTAAGAGGTGCAGTGTGTGTCAAGTAGTTGTGCGTACTTTGCTCTTCGTAGTTATGGTTGCGCTCCTGCTTCCCTCCTCATCCTCATCCTCAAGATCACCTTCATCTTCATCTTCGTCTTCTTCTTCCTCATCTTCATCTTCGTCTTCATCAAGCCCCAGTTTGACAGCAAACTCAGAGCCCGATGACTCCAAGTCTTCCTCGTCTTCCTCATCTTCGTCTTCATTGTTATTTTTGGCCTCGGAGTGCTTGGTGGGCTTGCCCGCTTTAGGCTTCTGGCCGACCTTGGTGGCAGAAGCTGCCTCATTGATTACAGGAAGCCTTTCATTACTGCGAGTGGTAGGTGCTACAGCAGATAGGTCAGGCACAGCAGTGATGCGATAGGAGAGGAGCCTTGTACCATTAACAGGCGAGCTCCGGATCCGGCGCTGCCGTCGGCGCCACGAAGCTTTTGCTTTGTTCGCCATTCCATCATTGTTACGTTGTCAAGATTTCCGATAATGAGCTCAAACAAGGACGACGGCATGTCTGCTCCTGCCATGCGAACGGCGCGCTCAAGCTTTTAGGCCAGAGGGTTGTCTGGGATGATTTCAAAGTCGCATAAATATAGCATTTCAGGTTTGCATTCTCCGTCGGCACTCTATTTACATGTATTTGTCAGCTCTCGGAGCAATTAATCTTTTTTCTCGCAGCGCAGCGAGTTAGTCGTCTACGAATAGTAACTAAAGGCTTCAGCGCACACTTGCCACATGACCTCGGCGCAAACGTCAACGCTGTGAGATAATGTGACAATTTTGAGATATAAGGACTCAATTAGTAGCCAGAGCGTGTGGTTACACAATGATTGTTAGTGCGGAACACGTCTATACATTTTGTTCAGTCTCTGTTTTACATGCCCAAGCGTGACATCCTAGATCTTGACTACGCATTTATGCCCAGTTAGAGAGCTCCTTAAACCGCTCAGGAGCAACAGAATCGTCAGCAAAAGGATAATCGATGTATCCCTCAGGGCTCTCCATAGCGTGGTACGTTGAACGGTCGCCCTTGTCGGCACTGATGTCCTTCTGCCATCGCATCGGCAAGTCGGGCTGCCAAAACGGAGTCAGCACCATGTAGAATTAACGTATGCTGTTGACGCACGTTTGAGATGAACAGTCTACCGATACCGATCAAGCCGCCCTTGGTCTCGGCGACCTTGAGTGCAAGTTCGCGGTTGTAGCCACCAGTGCTGATGAACGGCCGCTCGCCCCAAATCTCCCTCAGGAAGTCGTTTGACTAGGGGGTACTTAGTCAGCGTGAGTCCACCAGGATGTCACAGATCGAAACACTTACCTCCCCTTCCTGTACCTCTCTGTCGTTGCTGCCGTCTACACGGGGCTCAATCAGGTGGATGTAGGCCAAAGACGGCCAGCGTTCCGCGGTCTCCGACACCAGGTAGCTGAAACTGGGCTTCAGGTCCGCCATACGCATATCTGCACGACATCTTCGTCAGTGGGTCAAGCGCTGTCTCCAATGGCGGCACGAGCACGCACCGTTGAACGTGCTCCACGGGCTGAGCCGGATGCCGACCTTGCTCGCACCGACGGCCGCTACTGTAGCGTCGAGCACGTCGAGCGCGAAGCGCGCCCGGTTCTCGACCGAGCCACCGTACTCGTCCGTGCGCGTGTTCGTCACATCCTGGAGGAACTGGTCGATGAGGTACCCGTTCGCGCCGTGCACCTCGACGCCGTCGAAACCGGCGCGGACGGCGTTCCGTGCCGCTACGCTGTAGAGCGCGATGTACTCCTTGATTTCTGGGAGGGGTCGTCAGCCCGTTTTAAACGTGGGCAGAAGCCTCGCGATAATATATGCCCACCTTCCTTCGTCAACGGGCGCGGCGGGACGGGCTTTCCCGACAGCTGCACGTCGGACGCAGAGACGTAGGGATAGCTGCCCTCCTCCTGGAGGACATCTGGGACTGCTGCGCGGCCGAGGGCCCACAGCTGCACGTAGATGTACGACCCCTGGGCATGGACGGCGTCCGTGACCTGCAGTATATGGGTGAGTGATGGGGTGCGGGCTGACTGCGAGGGAGAGCAAAAAAAAAGGCGTACGCGCTTCCAGCCGGCGACCTGCTCGTCGCTCCAGATGCCGGGGACGTGGCGGAGCCCGCCGGCCTGCGCGGCGATGAACGTCGCCTCAGAAACGAGGAGCGTGCCGGGCGTGCTCGCGCGCTGCGCGTAGTACTCGGCCATGAGCGGCGTCGGGACGTGTGTCTTGGTCGCGCGAACACGCGTCAGCGGGGCCATCACGACGCGGTGCTGCAGTGTCGCGTCGCCAACCTTGAAGGGTGTGAAGAGTTTTGGCTGAGACATGGCGGAGAGTGATTGCAGTTTTGTGAGGGTGCCGTTGTGTTTTGTGGCATGCTGCAGCAGAACCCAGGTGCTATTATACTACCAGAGTCGTGAGAATAACCAATCGTACGTATAGCCAGCCTTCTGCGGCACAGTCCTCCATCAGCCTGACTCGGTGTGACTGGTGGGCGTGCTAAACCGGCCTCTGCATTGCTCACACCATGCCGTGGCGCAGTTATGGTCGGCTTCGGACTAGCAGCCCTGCAGCGCTTTCGCAATATGTAAGGGCTCTAGAACTTGCGAGCGTTAGCAAGCAGTGTTGGAGACGTCATTAGTATCCTTCATGATTAATTCACCTGCAAATCTAACATCAGGCATAGTATTTATTCTAGTTGACCGCATGGCGTTTACAGACATAAAAAACGCGGGATTCAAGGAAAAACAAGCTGGGAGCGGGGTCTTCGGCATCCGTTGCGCGATGCTGCGTCTGATGTGCGCCGGCCATTGCTGACTGCTAAGCCAGTAGCCGTGGTAAGGACAGAGTCCCGCACAGCGCCTTGCATCCAGTTAGAGTTAGATTGGCAAGGCGTTAGCGACGAGCTGAGAAAGCTTCAGATTCGATCTCGACCTGGAGCTGCAAGCTGCTTGCACGGTAGTTGGTGGAAGGAGCCTCCTCAACGCGCCCTCTGCACTGATGTCGTGCCGCTTTGATACTCCGATGGCATGCCGGAGAAGCCGATCAAACACCGCTCATTTATATCGTGATGGTGGCCCAACGATTTGCGCCCCCGCTGCGAATGGTGTCGCGCCTTCGGTACCGAGCGTACACAGACTCGCCCAAGTTACGATGACAAATGACCCAGTAAATCTTACCGAGCACCGCCTATCATAACATATGGAAGCTAGTGAGGAGAGGTCATTAGGCTCGCCCATGCGGGTTAAGGGATGCGATTAAGATGTACGTGGGCCCTACGGAGCGCAGCGACCCATGGCTGGCGAGTCTGGAACGAATGGGTCAGAAAGCCTGTCTCAGGTCAACATATCTGGGAGATGCCCAGGATTGCAGTTCAGCCTCAGCATCTCAGGCCCGAGATAGAATGACTGCAGGATGGCCAGAGCAACGTACCCTGAAGGTACGCCTGTAAGACGTAACTTATGTAGCTGCCTTGACTCTTGTGAGGTTACCTACGATATCTCCCGGGCGATAGAAAGTATTGATAGCGGTCAAAGATGACCTGCTCGACGAGGAGTCAAATGCTTACATAGGGCTCATAGAAGCATTAGCACTTACAACCCGAAATCCACCGCAAGGGATACGCGGAGGAGGAGTGGTATGGTACTTGACAGAAAGCGTATAGCGGCTCTATGCGCAGGGGCGCCGAGAAAGCGATGTCAACCCTAGCCGACGATGGCATGTCTTGTCACCGTACTTACGGTGGGTCCTGCTTGTAGTCGATGTGAACATCCCAAGCGACGAGAAGTCTCGAGCCCAGAGGTTCTTAGCGATGGCGAACGGCAAGCGACAAAACTCGAATCAGTACGTAGCCTCAAGCTGGAGAGCTTGCACATGATAACAGGACCGCTAACAGACTGTTAGTACCTGCCAATCTTGTAATGAACAAGTGACGAGAGCGCTGCTCCCAGAAACGCCTGACTATCTCAAGCCCTGGGGGTTAACAATGATTTTAATGGATGTTTTGCTAGGTAGATGACCAAAGCGAACCATTGCGAGAGATAAATCCCAGCGAATGTCGCAAATTTCCGTTTACCCTCATGAGGGAGCCGCCCCAAGATTGCATCAAAATCGCATCAAAACTGCCTCACGTGAGGCCCTCATGAGGCAAATTTCGTGTCGTGATGCACATCACGATGCCCTAACGAGGCTTGTGAGAGAAAAGATCGCTATTGATGCATCATGATTTTGGGAAAAAATTTGCGACACGACCTCAGTGAAAAGAACGCGCCAGTTGGCGTGGGAACAGTAGTAGTGCCCGTCACGTGAACCCAAATATCTGGGGTTTTCTTTTCTTTTCGAATTATCACCACTTCAGCTCGTTTTTCTTCCTCTCTTGAACGCTTTTCCATGCCACAAGCTATATTGAGGTTACTGAATAGAGGTGGAGATGGATGTCTTGCAGCCTAGTCGACCAAGCAGCGCGGCAGTTGCACCAGCCCCGGACGATGGCGGAATGCCTTGCGGTAGCTCGCTTACTCAAAATTCTCGGCGAAAACTGCCAGCCACTCGCGAAGTATATGGAGAAACTAGCGCGACGCGTGACAATTCTCCCTTAACCGAGGCCTCCGAGCGTTTGGCTTCAAGAGAGGAGGAACAGTGCCGCAACTCTCCAACGCCAGCTGCCTCGGTGGAGCAGTTTCGGACACGTATCGAGAGCTTTAGATTCAACTCACCCTCCAAGACACCCAGCCTCAAGAAGCGGCGACACACAGGATGCGACTTCGAGGACGAAGGTCCAGAGCGATCCTCCGGCGAAGATGACCGGTTGCCTACCTTGCCTGCTATTCAGAGGTCGCCCCGGAAGAAGCCAAAGAAGAAGCCGAGCCGACCGTACGCTCCGCCAGAAAAGTATGAACATTTGCATATGCTGCCAGACTACTTGGAGCAGGGACTTGATGGTAAGCTCTTTCGCATCATCAACGCTTCTCCCGTCACTTAACGATGATTTCTAGTTGTCTTCTGTGGTATCAAGTTGGTCCTTCTATTCCACAAGGTGCATAATTACTGATTGGTCGTAGCCCCGGGTATACCTCTGCGGACAATGGCCATCATTATGCACATTCGACTAATCACTTTTGGTTGGGTCTTTACGAATCTGGTGCGCATTGCGAGCGCCGTGCCCAAGTACTCATCCAGCTCAAATGAAGGATAAGTGTAGGATTAACAGACGTCCTGCTGTCACCTGATGAGGATTATACACTGCCTGACAAGTACAACTTCGGCTTGGTGAGTGAACGATGAGTCACGTATGAATAGGCTCATTCGAATTAACGTCGTTGTAGACCAATCTGGTCGACAGACCGACGGCCGAGGTATGTCGTATCAGAGATGTCTGTGCGTCTACACGCCTCATGACACTGTGATAGCAATCAGAGCTCGCGGCAGACGAGATGCGCCAAGGTGTACCTGCGTTGATGAACAAGTTCGCAAAGCACCGCCC